TTTAGGTCATTATGATATTAATATTTTTATATGTATTTTTATAAAAGTACAGTTATACATTACTTTAGAAATATTATACTATTATTTTTTTGATCAAACAAAATTATTTTTAGATCATTGTAAGACATACGCGACCTATCTATAAAGTTGTTGATATATATATCAATGCATGCATGATCCCTCCGATCCCACTGCACGGTCCTCAACTACTTCAGCTCCCACAACAATAATCCAAAAACCAAACACATGGCCCGGAATGCCAGAGAAAACGTAATAGATCGAAGCAATAATATTCATGCATACGCATTAAATTAGATCAATGATTCAAAGGCGCTAAGGTCCTCAAAATTGTATGGTTTTGTTTCATCAAAGTTATTATGATGCAAACGTGTTATCTGGCCTGTCAATTAACGTAATAAGCATCAGTTGTATCAATATCTTCAAATTACATCGTAGATCAGATCTACCATGTGTATTGTAGACCATACATGATCCAAATTATGTACACACAATTAAAATATTATAACATAATTTATTAATTAAATATACATAATAATTGAATGTATGTAATATGTTAATCGTATGTATATAATTTGGATTATGGCCCTATTTGGTAAAATAGTACGCTAATAGCTATTTGATCATTGATTTAGTTAAAAAATCAATATAAGTGTTTGGTTAATTAGCTTTTTGTAATTTCAAAATGTTAAAATTCAAAAAACTGCTCAAATTATTAAAGCAACTTCTCAATAATTTTTTGAGAAAGAGAAAATTATATCAAATAACTATCAACTAATAGTTAATTTACCAAATACTTTTTTACAATCAGCTAATATTATCAACTAATTATATTCTCTAATTAACTCGATCAATCAATAAACAACCATTTACCAAATAAAGTCTATATTTCACAATGTTTATGGTCGACCCAGTGCAAGATGTGATGATTGAACAATATCGTTGAAGTATTAAGGCGTCCAGCCAAATCAATAATTAATATGGAAAGCCGCTGGACATTTTTGGAGTAGCTAGGATAGGGAAAGTTCAAAAATGTTGTTAAATACGTAGGGACAGCCGACATGCAACCGTTATAGGGTTCACATTATTGCAGCATTGCACTATGAGTCTATGATTCATGTGTTTGCTATGTTATAATTTTGTGTGGCTTACGTTAGAAATTTTGTATTCTATAAGTATAAATAATTTTATATTTGAAACAAATTAGTAATTGTGTCTTATGTTATGAATTTTTGTGTCTTGTGATATGAAATTTTGTGTTTATAAATACAAATTATGTATCTAAATCATATTTGAAAAATAAGTAAATATATAACATGTGAATGTGTCTTTGTGTTATAAAATTATATACTTTACGAGTATAAATTTTGTACCTTGTCTTTTCAATCTAGATGAGTTCATAATGTTTTGTTATGTGTCTTGTGTTTTGTGTTATGAAATTATGTACTCTACGAGTATGAATTATGTACCTTGTTGTTTCAATCCATGTTGATAGGTGTAATGTGTATGTGCATTATCATTACATTAAAAAGAACAATATATATATATATATATATATATATATATATATATTTATTGGCATTATAAAAATAAAAAATAAATCTAATTGACACTAAATAATATAACATAATAAAAAATAAAAATTTTAATATAATAAATGTTGGGTCAATATATAATTACATTTTTTTAAAAATTTTTGGGTTAAACTTATCCCATTGCATCCCATTTTCTTAAAGCTCATTCACACTTTTGGATGAAAAATTTTGTGGCTAAGATTTTACTTTATTGTAAAAATAAAGATAGAGATTGTAATGTTGGCGCGATGGCCCATTTTGAAGCATATATTATTTGAAGCCCAACTAGGCCCATCACTGGTATAATGTTTACTGCGTGGTCACTGCTCACTGAAACTTCATATGGCATAAATAATTAATGATTAAATTATTTCAGTGTTACTATTATAAGGGCAATTTATATCGTGCACCAGAGCGCACATTACATTGTGTGCTCAGTAGCAAAACGATGTCGTTTTGTATTTTTGTTTTTTGAAAATTTTGTTTTTTTTTTTTTTTTTTTTTTTGTGTTTACTGTTAATTTGTTAAAGAAAAAAAATCATATTTTGAAAATGTACATAATTGTATATGAGAATGTACATAAACTTTTAACTGTTAAAAAAATTACGTGTTCTAATGTACATAATTGTATAAAATAATGTACATAATTATATAACATCATGTACATACACTATGTTGTGTCAATTCCACATCCAACTTAATAAAATGACGTCGTTTTGGAGACGCAAAGTGCACAGTACTATGTGCACCGTGATGCAGGATATAACGATTGCTTTAATAATTTAAAAATTAAGACTAAAAAGATACCAAGCCGTCCAGCTGCCAGATAGTCTACTTAATTGACTTTATAGTATTTGATTTCTTCCGTTATCAATATTATAATGTTTGCGACTCCACGTATAAAGGCAAACTATATCGTACATTAGGGTGCATAATACATTCTACGCCTTATCCCAAAACGATATCGTTTTGTATTTTTCAATTTCGTTTTCAATTTTTGTCGTTAACTTCTAAAAAAAAAAAAAAAAAAATCTCTATTTCGTAGGTATAGAATTCTATAGTAGAATACACATTTACTCCGAACATAATACACATAATCTAACATAATATATAATCCACACAAACTCTAAACATAATACACATAAACACAAATGTTTAAAAAAAAAAAAATTAACAGGATTGGATGGACGGAACGGTGTCTGTCGCGTCAACTCCCGACCAACTTATAAAAATGTCATCGTTTTGGGCCAAGGCGCGAAATGGTGCAGGATATAACAATCCGTCCTGAACAGGCCCTAACTGCAGGAGACAACTTTATGCTCGTACCATACTCAGACTAATTCATGTGTGCACTGTGTCAGCCCAATTAAGAGGCAAAGTGCTAGCCATATTAATTTTTCAATACGAGATGGTTCAAACTCCCAACATTTCTTAAGAGATAAGAGTGCACGACCACTCACGCCAACCAAAACAATAAAAATAAAAAACTTGTACATGAAGATATAACACAAAACATGTTACTCATGAAATATCTAGAGTTATAATAATATGTGGGGGTTCCAATTTTCCATCAATACGACAAAATATTTAAAAAATTGATAGATATAAGGAGGTACTATACACGGAGTATCATTTATAATTTTTAATGCGCCTACCTAACCCGTTCAATCTTGTGTTAGCTAAAAGAATAAATAGAATTTTATCATATTCAAGATTAAGTTATCACATCGGGGTACGTATTAGTCAAATTATATTGCAATATCATTTATTTTTATTTTTAATAAGTAGAAAATTAGCATTACTACTCACAAGCATTTTCCTGCTCTTTTTTTTTTTTTTCCTTCAAAACAAAAATTAGGTAAACGTCACTCACATTAAATAACTCGCAAAACATATAATAGGGTATATAAATCATACTAAAATAATCTTGTGTCAATAACTCGATTGAGAAAATACATGTTAACAAGAAAAGAATTTGTACAGCTATATAATTTATTTTGAACATAACAAAATAAATGTACGTAAATACTTGAATCATAAGTTGTTCAAGAGAAATTAAATTCTTTTTTTACTTGAATCATAAGTTGTTGAAGAGTAATTTACTAATTTTTGTCATGCATGTAAATTTTTTAAGAAATATATCAGTAGATTTTTTTTCAATAATTGAGCAGTAATAGCTGTTCTCGCACCTGATCCCTTATATATATATATATATATATATATATATATATGAAAGGGATCAGGTGCGAGAAGGGCTTTTTGTGCGAAGAAACGCATCTTAAGCATTAAACTAGTTCACTTTAAGTACACAACACACTTAGCACAAAAACAAAACACCTTAAAGAATACAAATCACGCACACACTACTACAGAAATGATATACTACGTCGCTTAATAGAAGGCGGTTTTTTAAATAACCGCCTTCTATTATATTTTGTTATACTACGACACATAATAGACATCGGTTTTCTAAATAACCGCCTTCTATTATATACTACGGCACATAATAGACGGCGGTCTTTAAATAACCGCCTTCTATTATATACTACGACACTTAATAGACGGCGGTCTTTAAATAACCGTCGTCTATTATATACGGCGTCACTTAATAGACGGCGGTTGTTAAATAATCGCCTTCTAATATATATTTACGTCACTTAATAGACGGCGGTTTTAAATAACCGCCTTCTAATATATATTTACGCCACTTAATAGACGACGGTTTTAAATAACCGCTGTCTAATATATATTTACGTCAATTAATAGACGGCGGTTCTTAAATAACCGCCGTCTAATTTATATTTACGTCACTTAATAGACGGTGGTTGTAAATAACCGCCTTCTAATATATATTTACGCCACTTAATAGACGGCTGTTTTAAATAACCGTCTTCTAATATATATTTACAGGGTCCTGAGAGAAGCGACCCGGGCGCCACCTTAAGGGTCCCGAGAGAAGCGAACCAAGCGACATCAGGAGCTATCCAATCGTAACGAGCCTCTGTGGAGGCATCTAATGTAGTTTCAAAAAAAAAATACATAGCATAATTATATAATATAATGTAATTTTATATTATTTTCTTTTTAGGTGAAAAATATATGTATAGACGGCGGTTCCTCAAGACAACCACGATCTATACATATGTATAGACGGCGGTTCTTACATTGAACCGCCGTCTATTCATATGTATAGACGGCGGTTCTTATATTGAACCGCTGTCTATACATATGAATAGACGGCGGTTCCTCAAGAAAAGCGCCGTCTATACATATAATTATTGAGATTACACGACATACATCGTGAGATTAGACGGCGGTTAGCAACCGCCGTGTACCGGCACAACAGCACGGAACTTAATTATATATATATATATATATATATATATATATATATATATATATATATGTGGCCATGCTGCCACTTTTGACTTCCGAGTGAGATCTGAAAGCATTGAAAATGGAGGGCCAAACGAGAACAACAATGAGGAGAATCCTCCTTTTCTTGTCCTGTATAATCTTATCCATCGGAAACTGCGGCGGCCCTTTGCTCATACGCCTCTACTTCCTCCGAGGCGGCAACCGGATATGGTTTTCCAGCTGGCTACAAACCGCCGGCTTCCCGGTCATTTTCATCCCGCTTCTCGTATCTTATCACCGCCGCCGGCGAGCTTGTAGCGATGAAAGCTCCAAAAGCAGGAAGTTCTTCCTAATCACACCGTTTTTGTCCATCGCCGCCGCACTACTCGGCGTTCTCGTAGGCGTGGACAACTATTTCTACTCCTACGGCATGGCAAAGCTTCCTGTGTCGACCTCGTCTCTCATCGTAGCCACCCAGCTGGTCTTCACGGCCGGATTCGCTTTCCTCCTCGTGAAGCAAAAGTTCACGGCGTTTTCGACAAACGCCGTGGTATTATTGACAGTCGGGGCGGTGGTGTTGGGGCTCCGAGCCGGAAGTGACCGCCCGGCTGGAGAGTCAAACAAGGCCTATCTTTTAGGGTTCGTGATGACTGTGGCTGCGGCGGCGTTGTATGGGTTGATTCTGCCATTGATAGAGCTGAGTTATTTGAAGGCCAAGCTGCAGGCAGTTAGCTTTAGTTTAGTGTTGGAATTTCAGATGATTATGGGTTTTGTCGGTACTATTTTCTCCACTGTCGGAATGGTCATAAACAAGGATTTTGAGGTACGTACCCGAATAACCTTTCACTTTTCTGAATATTTTTTGAGTGGCGAAACAATCTTGATATGTATTATGTAAATTTGACCCATTGTGCGTGACTCAAGTTAGCAAAAGTTATAAAATGTAAACTTTGTTCATAACTAACCGGTTTAAGGGTCACACTTATGTGGTACCGTCTCACGGATCTTTATCTGACAGATCGGGTCGGGTTAATATGCAATTGTAATACTTATAGTAGCAAATCTAATATTAATTAGAATAAAATGTTTGTTACCATAATATATACTTTTACTCTCACAAAATTTTGATGTTGACATTTTTATTGTGATCCACAAAATGAAGATAACTTATCATAAATTATCACATCATGGAGTAAAAGCTAACCAGTAAAAATATGAAGTACATGTAGTTGAACTCATATTTTAATGAACCTAGAAAGGGAGGAATATAAATATAACCTGCAGAATAAGTTGCTCGATCAATTGGTTTAGAGTGATAAATTATGTGTGATAACATCAGACTGAGCCCTAACAATATCATGTGAGAGTTTCACACGATATAGTGTGCTATGAGCATTGATCCTCTTACCTAATGTGTCAAAGTATAGCATACTAGTCATCAAGACATAATTAGTGGTCAAAAGGTTGAGTTTAAACATAGACCTAACAAATAAGCCACTTTAAATCCTCAATGTGAAAAGATCTTAGCCTTAAGACAAATCCCATAATTTATCTCTCTCACAATCCGCGTAGCCCTCAGGTTTAGTAGGTTTAAACCTGAAGTATAGCATACAACAGTAATAATATAGGTATTGAATTTGACAGGTAATTCCAAGGGAGGCAAGGGAATTTGAACTGGGAGTAACAAAATACTACGTATTAGCCGTATTTACTGCGATTGTATGGCAATTCTTCTTTGTGGGAGCTCTTGGAGTCATCTCCTACGGTTCATCATTGCTCTCAGCTCTCATAGTCGCGGTTCTGCTCCCCGTAACGGAGATCTTGGCCGTCATCTTCTACCATGAGAAGTTCGAAGCCGAGAAAGGCATCTCTCTGTTCCTCTCAATCTGGGGATTTGTTTCTTATTTTTACGGCGATATTAAGAATACCAAAAAAGATAATAATGAATCATCTGCAGAAACAGAGATGACCAGTGCTCCAACCGTTGCTTCCACGCAAGCAGTATAAAAGAACCTAAGCTATCCTAGCTTCTTTTCATATGTATGAAAATATATGTATGTGCGTGCATGTGTACTGTTAGTTGTACTTTAAAGTTTAAAGGCTTTGACCAGTTTGGTAAATGACTATTAGCTTATTGGGTTAATTAAAAGGTATAACTAGTTGTTAATATTAGCTGATTGTAAAAAGGTAATTAAAAAAGTTGTTTTAAATTTTAGCATTTTGAAATTACAAAAAATTAATTAACCAAACACTTATATTGATTTTTTAACCAAGTCAAACAATTAATAATAATAAAATAAATTAAAATTGACTGATAAACTAACTATTTTACCAAATAAGGCTTTTGGTCTCTTGTCATGTGTCTTTGGGGCTTCGTTGCGGCAAATTATTGTGTGGACCATGGTCCACACAATGTTATGTGGACCATAACAAAAAGTACATTTTTAATATACTAAATGTACATTATTTTTGTACTGAATGTATATTATTTTTGCATTGAATATACATTATTTTACAGTAGACAAAATATGGTCCACACAATGGCAAATTATGTTGTGCATCCGTGAGATGCAAAAACGACATCGCTTTGACTAAAAACGCTCGTCCCACTAAAAAAAATTCAGTTTCGATTCTCAGCAACAGCATTATGTTGTTCATTCATTCTAGATTTTTAGTTTATTCATTCTGGATTTTTAGTTATGACATTATGAATGTATAGTTATTCAATTCTAGATTTATAGTTATGAAGTTATGGATGTATAGTTATGCAATTCTGAATGTATAGTTATGAAGTTATGGATGTGTAGTTATGCAATTATGGATATATAGTTATTAAGTTGGATGTGTAGTTATGCATGCAATTCTGGATTTATAGTTATGAAATTATGGATGTATAGTTATGCAATTCTGGATGTATAGTTATGAAGTTATGGATGTGTAGTTATGCAATTATGGATGTATAGTTATGAAGTTATGGATTTATTTATTTTTTAAGTCGACATCAAAACGACGTCGTTTTTGTATTTGTGTGCACCATGCATGGTGCACACTGATGCACAACGCTTCCCACACAATATAGTGGGCCATATTTTTGTAGTGAATGTATATGGTCCATACAATATAGTGGTACATTATTTTTGTACTGAATGTATATTATTTTTGTACTGAATATACATTATTTTACACTAGACGACGTGTGTGGACCATGGGACACAATAAATGATTGGAGGACCGTGTGTTTGGCCAACTCACTCTGGCAGAATGTGTTTTTGAAGATTTTTGCATTTTTGGATGAGTTACACAGTGACACACCCACTTGTATTGCCGGGCATGACCCAATACGACTCTTGGAGTGCTCCAATTCAATAATTGCTCTTATTCCTTGTGCTTCAATATATGGTCCACTTGACTCATCTCTTCTTCCAAATGCATGGAAATCAATATTTTTGCTTGGATGATGGAAATTGCACCTAATTAATTAATTAAGGGTGTGTTTGGTTCATAAATTTATACATTAAAAATGGGAATAAAAATCACAATTAGTGTTTGATTCAGAACTTTTTAAAACACAATTATAAATTTTGATTACTTCTTCAAATTCTATTTCCTTTTTTTTTTTTTTTTTGAAATTTCAAATTCTATTCCCTAATTAAATAGGGAACTAATACACTCTAAGTAAACAAAGCAAATAAGGATTATTTTAGACATGATACTTATAGTTTAAGCGCAAAATAAATGTTAAATATAGGGTAAATTATGATCTAAAAAACATAAACTTATCATGTAATTGTAGTTATATGAACCTTCCATAATTATTAGTTTTGGATAGTTAGTAATTAGTTATTGGGTCGTTTATGTGGTTGATTTTATTTGTAATTTTTACACATATATATTCTTTGAGAATGGAAACTCAAAGGATATGATGCAACAAGATGAGGACAATCTTCCTTTTATTCAACACTATATTATTGGCAATCGGGAACTGCGGTGGCCCTTTGCTCCTCCGCCTCTACTTCCTCCGAGGCGGCGCCCGTTTATGGTTTTCCACGTGGCTGCAAACCGCCGCCTGGCCGGTCGTTTTCATCCCACTCCTCATCTCCTACCTCCGCCGGCGCCGCCGTAGGAGTGACGTCGACTCCAACACCAAGTTCTTCCTTATGACGCCGTGTCTTTTCATCTCCGGCGCACTCATCGGCCTTCTCGTGGGCCTCATGAACTATCTCTACACCTACGGCGTCGCCAAGCTTCCCGTTTCCACGTCGTCCCTCATCGTCAGCTCCCAGCTGGCATTCACGGCGTTGTTCGCTTTCTTCCTCGTGAAGCAACACTTCACCGCCTTCTCGGTGAACTCCATCGTGTTGCTGACCGCCGGGGCGGTGGTTTTGGGTCTCCGAGCCGGAAACGACCGGCCTGCCGGGGAGTCGAACAAGGAGTACGGTTTGGGGTTTGTGTTGACTCTTGGGTCGGCGGCTTTGTATGGGTTGATTATGCCGTTGGTGGAGTTGATTTACAACAAGGCTAATACACCCATTGGTTATATTTTGGTGTTGGAATTTCAGATGGTTGTGTCTCTTGCTGCCACTCTTTTCTGCTCGGTTGGAATGTTCATAAACCATGACTTCCAGGTTAACTTCTTCATTCTATCTTCATCAATAATATATATAATATATAAACACATGCATGCATAATTACCTTTTTTTTTAGGAACTAAAACCTAAAAAAATGTTCACTAGATAAACCTCGCTCATAAATAACTAATTGCGAGATCTGGCTCTGAGTGGATGATCTGGCTCTGATACCAAACTGAAAGTCTAAGCTGATAGTTGGATTGCATATTAATGGTTATATACTCAAAAATGATTACTTTTTTGTATTGTTTATTTATATATTATATACAGGTGATCCCAAGGGAAGCAAGAGAATTTGAATTGGGTGCAGCAAAATATTACATATTAGTGATATGCAGTGGGATTATATTCCAATTTTTCCTGATAGGAGCCCTTGGGGTGATCTGCTACGGTTCATCTTTGCTCTCCGTCGTCATCAACACCGTTCTCCTCCCAGTGACGGAGCTTCTCGCCGTGATTTTATTCCACGAGAAGTTCCAGCCGGAGAAGGGCGTCTCTCTTTTCCTGTGCCTCTGGGGATTTGTTTCTTATTTTTACGGAGAGATGAAACGCAATAAAGACATGGAGGAGAAGGAGAAGAACCAAACCCCACAAACGACAGAGATGACTCCCACATCACATGTGGCCTGAAATTCAAACAATCATCAAGGATGAAGCTACACGCCTCTTTAATTTTCATTGTAATAATTCCAATAGTCACAGTCTACAACTAACTTGTCATGTTATATGTCAAATCTTCACCATCAAGTGTAGTGTTTACATTGGCCACCAAAAACAATAATCTGTACCTCAATTAATAATCTTTTTATCTAATACGCGTATATAAAAAGTCAAAACTCTTTCACCACCAAATGGCAGGGTCAGTAAACTTTTAGAGCTTGAACTGTGCGGAAGAAGATGACACCACAAAATTCTAGTTGCAGCCAATCCCCGGATAAAAGACTGCCAAAGTCAAATATGATCGAGATGATGTTGATGAGTTACCACCTTGCCATCACAGGTTGTCTGTCTTCTAGTCGTGATTCTATCTTTTGCAATCGGCGTCGGTCTTCAGAATAGGATTTTGTTTAGCAGCAGGAGAATTAAGATGAGAAGGGAGAGCTCGACTGCAAACTTGGGAGTAATGATGTGTTCAACCACATGATTCCACCTGTAAGTTCAACCAGTACAGAGCTGCTGATAAAGCCTGTAATACCATTCAAGAATGCTCGCCACATTCAGAATGGTTAAAGATGTCTACAATGGTGTATATGCAATGAACACTAGAGGACTGCAAACTTAAAATGGAGTCTAACATCCTAATTGACAACTAACATGCTGAAAATTGGACGGCACAAAATGGAGTGAACAACAAAATAGAAAGAGATTATTTGAGTAAATGAGCAAACTCACCAATTTCCTTGTGAATACATGTTATCTCCATTATCAATTTCCTCCTTGGCAAATTCTTCAAGTATTGCTCGTTGTTTATCATTTAATTCTCTGGAAACAAGTTAAAACAATAATAAAGAAAAAGCATTTAACATTGTCTGCAGTATGCATCTCAAAAGACTTCCCAAACAAAAAAAATGAATCATAAGATTTACATAGAACATATAATTACCAACACCAACAACAAATGTATAAGAGAATTACGTTGGAAATCTTATGCGGAATCTCACATACTGATCTCCATGTTTTACAACAAAGCCACTCCTTGGCAAGCCTAATCAATATGGGGCATGTATTCAGTGCAAATTCAAAACTAAGAGTAAGAATGGTGATTTCAAAATTAAGATCCCATAAAAAGATCATCATACCTTTGCCTCTGAGTACCAGAAGTTGACCAGGCTGAACACCCTTTGGTATCTAAGGGGACCAGAATGAAAAGTGAAAGGTAACCTTTAGTAAATGGTTAACAGTAAAAAGATCAAGATAATGGCCTTAATCAACATTAATAGGCACTAACATATTGAAAAGTTTAGTCACCATAAAAATGCAGCCAATGAAATTAACTTTTGGACTAAAGATTATAAGAATAGTAACATTTCAATTTCAAAACAAATTTAAACTGGTTTATCCAAATCTAAACAATAGTTGGGAAAAATCAAAACTAACTAAAATAGATGTTGGAAAGAGAACTTCTTCCTCACTATCAACCGCACATATATATTAAGAATTTTCAGTTGCAACTCAACTTTTAAAGACTTTTTGTTCAAAATACGACCAGAGGATTCAAAATCTCAAAAAAGGACTACAAACATACAAAGAATGTTATGTGAGCCTGAAAACAAGTTAGAAAGTAATTTTGATCTTATGTAGGAGCTTATAATTTATTAGTATTTTTTGAAGATTTTTATCAACAGTATACAGCTTCTATGTCTCAAACATCAGAAACTTTGTTGTTTTACTTCAGGAATACTATATCACAAGGGTAGAAAGAAGTATTAAACCCATAAACAACATCAAGTGGAAAATTCAAATATATAAATCAAAGCTCTATTTGAGACAGAAACATAAACAATGTAACGCAGCAATGAGATTTGCGTGAACAGAATAAGAAAGCCATGCCTTCACTGATGTTGTCCCAGATAAAGTCGGTACCTCAACCTTGCCACCAAGAATAGCCTGTCAAACCTCTCGGTGAGTATAAGGAAATTAACTTGGAAGATGTCTTTCTAATTGGTAAAATATCTGCTATATAAACACAGGAGAATCCTCTAAGTATGCTATTTCCATGTTATCATCCGTAAACTCTTCTAGTCTTGTGAAGATCTTTTTTTAGCACATTAGTTGGGGGGTGAGGTATTTGAACTCATGACCTACAAATCTACCTCACCTATGAATTGAGGAAAAGGTTAATGGTTGATTTTATTTACTGTTCCATCTTCTTCCATGATCATTTATGAATAGCATATGCCTGGTTAAGATTCTAGGCAGAAATTTACTGGACAGGTAAACTGATGAGTTCAAACTCAAGGAGAAAAGAACAGTTATATCTTACTTGTGTAAAGCTGATATTAGCATCAACATAAATGTCAGCACCATCTCTGTCAAAAACAGAATCCTCATCAACCTGGAAAAGGAAAAAATAAAGTCTTCAAGTTGGCACTAATGAAGAATTCCAAGAGCTGAGAGCTACAATGAGAAAATAAGAAATGAAATTATAAAATGAACTACTAATCTAGAACTGGCACATGCAGTAAAAGTGTAAAACTGAGGTGGTCACTCCAAAAATTTAGCAAACAATCAGAAGCCAAAAGATATTGTGATTATGACTTGAGCCATATGTTCTTCATGACAAAGTTAGTTGGTCAAATAAATTAGCATAACTATCCAAACAGAAATCAGAAGAGAAACATGAAATAAAAACACTAAAAAGGTTGAACAAAATGACTAAATTCAGAAAAGAGGCCATGCCTTTAGCTTTATAAACAGGTTGCCTGGTTGCATCCCTCTTCTGCCAGCATGACCAGCTCTTTGTACACGGATAGTATCGCCAGAATCCACACCTTTTTCCATTTTTATTTTTATTGTTTGGGGGAGGTGAGACACCATGGTGAAACCAAACTCATCATTAAAATAGAATGCCAGAGCTCTTAGACCTTTCTACTAAAGAGTTAGAACTAAGAAATTTCAAATTTCCTGTTGTTGTTGTCTTTAGCAGATGCATCAACTATCTTCCCAAGCAAAAAAATAGTGAAAATTTTGTCTGCAAACATAATATACATGTATGTGTGTGTACGTGTAAATACAAGAGCGTGCGCACACACATATATATAGATAGATATAGGCTTAGGATCGCATGAGAACACACCCGCAGGAGAAAACTAAGAACAAATTTCAGTTTTACAGATCAGATTAAAAAAAAAAAAAAAAAAAAAAAAAAACGCGGTGACATTTTCATAATTATCATCAACTTCACTATGCAAACTTGAACACTTAAATATGCAATCTTTAACAACTAAATATGCAAGCCTGGTAAATTTTATAAAATCAATGCAAAAGCTAAATTTTAAATCTAAACCATAAATGCTAAACTCTACGCAGTAAAAAGTGAACTACTAAACCAAATAAATCCAAAAACTCAGTCATAAACTCTAAAATCGAAACCCTAAGTGCAATGCACTTAAGCATTTTTGCAAGTGCAATCTTTTAATACTAAATATGCAAAATGTTAATACTAAATGTGCAAAATGTTTATACTAAATAAATGTGCAAAACTGGAAAAGTCCGAGAATTGCATATTTTAGTGTTCAAGTTTACATAGTAATGTTGGTCATATTTACTAAAATGCCACCGTGTTTTTTTTTAAAATCTGATCTAATCCGTCCGATTCTAAAGCTGAGATTGATTCTTAGTTTTCTCCTAAGGACTTGTTCTCATTTGATCCAATACCTATATATATATATATATATATATATATATATATATATATATAGAAGTGCAGTAAAGGTTAAATGGCGATCAATTATTAATTAATTCTGTTTCCTAATATACTCCAATAATTGTTTTTTTTTTTCATTATTTAGTTGTCAAGAAACTAAGATTTTGAGGAATTTCTCAAATATGGAATGGCAATTTGAGCAAATTTGTAATCCTTTTCTACATACAATGCCAGCAGGAACTTTCTGACATGTTTAATTCAAATTGAAAATACTGTCAGAGACAGAAGTATCTATGTTAAGATCTACATTTAACTACGAAAAATAAATTTTCACACCAACCTGGTGGTATGGTTACTTTAACATCTTTAACACCTCTAACAGCTCCTGATCCTTTGCATTCCCTACAAATTTCCTAAAACCAGAGACTAATAAATAGTATGTTGAAATACTATTAAACAGATAAAATCACCCATTCATATAAACTAACCTTAATGATTCTGCCAGATCCTTTACAACCACTGCACAGAGCCGTAAATGGGGGAATAGTAACCTGATTAATATAGGAATAAATTAAGTGACCAAAAAAACAGAAAACAAAAAAAAAAACAAAAAAAACAAAAAAACAAAACAGACGAAGAAAGAAATTCCAAGCTGCCCAACCAATTGAAAATCAAACCCTATAAAAAAAATCATAACTTACTCGCCCAAGGCCTTCACATGTTGGACAGACTCTTGGCTTTGCATTCAGTGGGTGACCCTGCCCATCTAGATGAGGATGAAGGACAAGAAAATGAAGAAAAAAAATCCCACTCAGTAACAAAATTGAGATCTTCACATGAAGTGGAGTTCTTCAAGTTCATACAACATTGTTTTTCGCTACTAGAGTACTAGATGTCTATCTTGTCTTAGAATTTAGGACTCAGTTTCAACAATGATGAATGTTTATCACAAAGATAGTCTCTAACAACAGTAGGGATAATCTTCAAACATACCTCATAAAACCAATTCCTTCACATTTGCAATGAAATTAATGGTAATTTTCAGAAATGAAGTCATATGGTCATTAAATAACAGGAAGAACTGTACCTTTCTAGTTGGTCTATATTATATTTCCTGAGACAGCATAGTGATATAATCAAGCAAAAAATGAATATATTTTTCATAAGTTACCAAATTAACTGTCAATGCACAAACTTCTAATGATAATATGGGTTTTTTCTTCCACTTTGAAGAACTATAATAATTGGCACTCCACACCAACAAGAACACACACACAAAATAGGGATTGAAAGTGCAAAATGTGAACTTATAATGCCTTCATAATGCCTCCCATGTATTCACTTAGAAAACAAGACAGAAATCAGAAGATAAAAATGGACATCAGAATTGAAAATGCAGTGCTACAGATAACAGACACAGTGATACTTCAATGAAAATTCAGGGATAAAATCTACTTACGACAATAGTCACAAGGAACATCCGCATCAAAGGACAGATGCTTTGTGCATCCTTTAGCAGCTTCACAAAAAGAGAGAGAAAGTTCCACCTTCAAATTTCAAAGTAAGTCATACAGAACAAATTTAAATTGGCAGACTAAAAAAAAAGGAGTAACAAGAAGTACAAACCTGAATATCATCTGTGAAAGTTTCCGTCTCATTTTCAAATATCTAAACATGTTAAAAACATGGTACAATTAGAAAGACACTATAGTTTTGAATGCAGCAACCACGTGAAATTTTTTATAAAAAAAAAAAAAAAAAAAAAAATGTGCGGAAGGTTTTACCTCAGAAAAAATTTTCTGGAAAGAATGAGAAAAATCATTGAAGTTTGCTTCATATCTAAATCCTTCAGCACCCCCATAATCAAAATTTGAATATTCAGTTTTTCTGTGTTCTTTCATCTGTCATAAGGGTGAATACCATTTATTTACAGAATGTTTAATCAAAAAATGACATGGCCATATGATTCTTATGTGAATAAACCATGGGTAGAAAAAGAAATATTACCATGTCATATTGTTTTCTCTTGTCAGGATCTTGCAGAGTCTGAATTCACCTTTCACAATGATAATGTGAAATAAATAAACAATTTTAATTATAGTAATGAACTAACTATAATATACTGCATGAATAAGAAAGAACTGCAAACCTCATATGCATCTCTTATTTCTTGAAATTTCCTCCTTGTAGAAGGATTATTCTTATTGGCATCAGGATGGTACTTTTTTGCAAGCTACAGAATTTTTAGAAATAAAGACATTTAGAAATACTAAACAAGCATGATAAATATAAAGAGCAGTAATATTGAAAAGTTCACTGAAGTATGAGAATAAAGGTTTCTAGAGTGCAGAAAATTCAAAGCTTTTAATCACAAACTCACCTAAAAAGGGGAAAAAAACCAAAACACACACACACACAAAGCAAGTGAAGAAAAGAACCCCAATCTCAATAAAAATAAGAAAATGTCTCATTTTGCAATAGACCAAACAATAAGTAATACCAGTAACTGAAAAATGGATAACTACAAGTTCAAACGAAAATTATCTACTATTCGATTCACGAAGAAAAATTCAAGTATTACTCACTGCATGAAAAGCCTTCTTAATCTCTTCCCGACTGGCATCTTTAGAAACACCTAAAAGGTCATAATAATCCTTTTCCGCAGAATGACAAACTCCTGGTAAATGAAACGGAGTGTGTTGGCATAATAAAATAAAATAAAAATAAACAAACAAATCAACAAGATTTATAATAATAATAATAAAATTAAAATAAAAAATAAATAATAACCTTACCTGTAGAGTGGATAAAATGTCTGGATGATGGGCATTCATTAGCTGCAAAATTTGCTGGCTTGCCAATAATACCGGAACTATACAAAGCTGATACATGAGGCAGAGGCATTGATAAAAATGAGTAAACCCGCAATTGAAACCAGTTCAATTAACAGAAATTCCTACTAACTTTTCCTCATGGATAAATAAATATACTAAATCTTGAAGAACAAGAATTCCACTGTGATGTCTAAAAGTTCATTACAGTTAACAAACTAACATCTACTCTGTAGCAATGCCCGTTGAAATTCCGGAACTGTGCCGCGTAAATTTCTTTTCTCAACGGCTGATTCAGCAACAACTCTTTGCCTAGACTATAAAACATTTTTCAAAAAAAAAAATCAGAAAGCAGTTATATGAAACTACATCTGTAAATATTCCATCGAAGTTAAAAATGAAAAACATTTTACTAGAATTACCAAAATACTCTGAACAAATGATTTTGACGAAAGCCTAGCCCAGCTCAATCTGCCCATTTCGAGCTCGAAGCTATCCAAGCGCCACGATAATGAAATTAAGCTTTGAGAGTTGTAGAAAAGACGGTTATACGACGTCGGAATGAATCATGAGATTGATCGCCGAATCACAGGCGATGAGTGATTGATGACGGGAAGGAGTGGGTTTAGGGTCTGCAGTAGCGAAGGTAGACGCTGGCTAGCAATTACAATTGATCCCCCGCCCAGGTCAAATCAGTAATTTACTGATATCACTGTCTTTTCTTTTTTTTCACAATTGTCACAACTAGCTAGGGATGTCAAATTTAGTCCAAAATTGATGAGGTGGCCTGACAATATCAAAAAAAATATTAAATAAATAAAATTAGGGGTTACCAGGACTATGTGGTCTAATGGTATCCGGGTTGGACTTCTATTTAGAAGGTTGTAAGTTCGAACCTCAGTGGAGGCGTTATTGGTTCTTTGTGTTTCAGTAGACTGAGAAAGTATATAAACACATACTACAATGTAATAGAGCCATGAGAATTCCATTTTTAGTTTTTTTTTTTATTAAATTTGTAAATAACATTTTAATACATTTATTACAACAAAAATCATAAAAATAAATAATGAAAATGAACAAATTTTGTCAATTATTTTAGTTGAACTTTTGAAATGGAAGTTTAAATTATTTGAACGATGTGTACGTTTATTCTTACTACTAGTATACATATACTAGTTTATTGAAATTGAAAATTTTAATTTGAATAATGTTTTAATAAAGTCTGGACGATAAACATGATGTCTTGATATTTTTATAGTTATGGCTAATAATTTTAAACTCAAAAAAAAAAAAAAAAAAAAAAAAAAAAAAAAGAAGATACATCCAACAACCCCATGTGGATAGCCCACAACTTAACGGATTAACCCGATTGCCGTATGTATATATTCTTTAATAATGTATATAGCAGGGCTGGTCAAAGTGGGCTGAAGCCCGCGGGTTAGTCCGCACCCGCTTCGCGATGGGGCGGGTTAGGGCCGTAAAAAATTAGGCTCGCAAAAATGCGGGCCTACTGGGCATGGCCCGCGGAGGGCCAGAGCCCGCGCGGGCAAACCTGCATGGGTTGTGGGTCGGCCCGCAGGCTATGTCATATTTAAAAAATAAATAAATAAATTATATATATAATATCTTTTTTTTAAACCATATATATAATATCTTAATTCTTAGGCAGTGTGTAGATCTCACTATCTAAGAGTACGCAGAAGGAGACAAATCCAATAATTCAATAATCCTTCGCCAATTCTTAATTAAATAATTCCTAGAGTACGTAGTTCTTCGGTTCTCCCGTCTCTATCCGCCTCCAACTCTATCAAACAATTACTAAAACTAAATCATCAATTCATACATATTTATGAATTACTAAATCACCTCCAAGTCCAGCAAACATACATATTTATATATGTACTATACATAGACGGGAATTGTAGAGGGAAAATCTGAAGTCGATAGAGAAATAGAGTGTGCTGTTGAACCCTAGCTTTGATCACCCTTCTACAGTAAATCTGAAGTCGAGAGAGAAATAGAGTGTGATGTTGAACCCTAGTTTTGATCACCCTTCTACAGTTCTGCTCAACGCGCGGTATCGATCTGGGAGATTTGGGCGAGGTTTATGGATTTTATGGAAGTTTCCGGTGCATTGAGGTGTATCATACACCGTGAAGATGCGAAAGAACGACCAATAAATAGTGTCATATTGCAATCGGTTTTAACATGTTTATATACTATTTAATGTTTTTTTTTTTAATTTAAGTGATGGCCCGCGGGTCAGCCTGCAAGCCCGCATGGGACGGGCTTGGGCTGTATAGTTCCAAGCCCGCGGGCCGGCCCGCAACAGCCCGCCAAATAAAAAGCCCGCGGTGGGGCGGGCCTAATGAGGCGGGCCGGCTCGCATTGACACCCCTAGTATATAGTGCAACATCTAAAAATGTAAAGAGCACAACCAGTCTTACAATATAGAAAAAAGTGCATTTAGGAGTGCACATCCTACTTAACCCCATATATCACTACTAAATTTGTCGCATTTTCTTTAAGTATATTTCATGTTATTTATCTAAAAATAAAAATATACTAGTTTGTTATTTCACTACAGGGCGTTTGGTTGGGGGGAGTTTAAATTCCCTTCCCACTTAATTCCAAAGGCCATGGAATTCCTTAGTTTGGTTGGAAGAAATTGAAATTCCATGGAATTGCAATTCCCCCATTTTCATGGAATTAAAATCTCATGTCCCCCCCCCTGGTATTTTAATTTTGGGATTTCAGGAAGAAAAAAAAGCTAGTGATGAGACAAAATTATCCCTCATTTTTTTATCCTAAAATTAATACCACAACAATAATTGGCATTTTGAACTTTATACTACTTATTCCCTTTCAATTCCCATGTATACCAAACATTGGAATTAAAATTCCCAGTAATTTTATTCCCGTAAACCAAACATTGGAATTTAAATTCTCACTTTATTCCCAGTAATTCATCTCCTGTGGAATTGCAATTCCTTTCCCACGTAATTCCCTCCTTCCAACCAAACGCCCTATTTTATCTCGAATCCTCTAATACACTAACATGGCGTTTGGTTGGAGGGAGGGAATTATGTGAGAAAGGAATTGTAATTCCATGGGAGTTGAATTACTGGGAATAAAGTGGGAATTTAAATTCCAGTGTTTGGTTGACAGGAATAGAATTACTGGGAATTTCAATTCCAATGTTTGGTATACATGGAAATTGAAAGGGAATAAGTAGTATAAAGTCAAAAATGCCCATTGTTGTTGTTAAAATGAAAGATTAGACATTCATTTTAGGTTAAAAATGAGAAGGGTAATTTTGTTTCATCAGTAATTTTTTTTTTCTTCCTAAAATCCCAGGAATTAAAATACTAGGGGGATATGGGATTTTAATTCCATGAAAATGGGAGAATTGCAATTCCATCCCTCCAACCAAACTACGAAATTTAATGACCTTTGGAATTAGGCGGAAATTAAATGGGAAGGGAATTTTAAATCCCTCCAACCAAACCGCCTGTAATGGTGTTTATATGCTTTCATTCGAGTCGACGTGGACTCTTATGAAGAAAATAAACAAAAATTCAAATGAAAAGGAAAAAAAGAAAAAACATAACAAAAATATAGTAAGAGGTTGTGATATATATAAACATATAAGAGATAATAAGAAATTGAAAGAGATGTGACAATGGAAGAAGGATGAGAGAGACAATTAAGATACTGATTTATTATTTCACGTTTTCCATAATACACGTACAAGATGTACACTCTAACTAATAACTCTATAAGTATCACCTAATCATGTGAATATTGAACTCATAAATAACTGATAAAATGGTCAAATAGGCCCTTAAACTTGACCACAAAAGTTAATTAGGTTTTTAAACTTTTAAAAAGTTCAATTAAACACTCAAACATGTCAAATTGGGTCAATTAAGCCCATAAACTGGTAAATGACCTGTTATTACAGGTCATTTCAATTCCGGCCACTAGTGACGAATTCCGGCCACCGGCGATAATTTCCAGTTGTCTTCCACTAGAGAAGACGACCGAACGGCGTCTGCCGCTTTCTCCCGTGGAGAAGACGACTAGATCTGGTCTGGTCATCTTTTCTAATGGAGAAGACGACCGTTTGGTCGTCTTCTCCACTGGAGAAGGCGGCTGTCCGTCGTCTTCTCCAGTGGAAGACCGGAATCTGTCGCCGGAATTACAATAACCTGTAATAACAGGTTATTTATCGATTTTTGAATTTAATTGACCCAATTTATCATATTATATGGGTACACTATTAGTTGATAAATATGGAGTTATTTAAAAGAGGAAATGAAGAACTCTCCAATATAAATACCTCATAACATCGAATTCAAATAGAACAATCAATCAAATGATTATAATGTATTTACCCATTCATTTTCAAGAATCAATAACATATTGAGTGAATAGAGTGGATAAAAAAAAAGGTGTTCAAAATAAAAAAAAAAAAATCAATAAATAATTTATAGGAAGAAAAAAAACTTGAAATATTGTCCAAATTGGACTGAATTTGGTAATCCGATATTATGAGGCCGGTACAGGTACAGTTACCGGAATGGACACGTTGCTTCTTCTCTGCTAGTGGTAGAAGAAAACTAGGGAGTTAAACAATTACTCTAATAATCAACAAAACAAAACCCCTAAAAGGAAATGGAAATCTCATAAAATTGGAAACCAAAATAATTTGCAGATTTCTAGGGTTTTTTCCCCACCGTCAAGCGAGTGTCTGTCTCATTCCACATCTCAGTTTCAGGCGTCGGTTTCAAAGGTTCGTCTCTCTTTTTCCCTTTCTTGTGATATTTATTCTTCTTGTTTTGGCGAGGAAGGTCAAAACTTTATCTTGGGGGATGATTATATGTGAGAAAACACGCGAGACGCCTGCGTTTGCTTTGCAATTTTATCCGAAGGTGAGTGTGATTCTGAAATTTTTGGTGACTTAATATATTGCGTTTGGTTTTGTTTTGTTTTTAGGGATTTCGTAGATAGCGATTTGTTAATTGTTGATTGATGAGGAAGAAGAGGAAAGGCAGTGAGATTTTGTGCCTGAAGCAAAATGAGATTTTGAGTTCAACCAATGGTTCCGAAACGTCATCATTATCGAATTTCAAGTCTCATTATTCGTTGGAAGATTATTCTAGGTTAAAGAAGAGGTGCAAGGAAGATTATGATTATGGTGCGTGCTGTGAGGTTGTTGGGTCATGTAAAAGTAAGACTAGACTGGCTGGCATTGCTGCCACTGCTCCACCCTGTGGGACTTCGTCCTCAGTGTCCTCTGGACGAGGGCTTAAGAGGAAGATAGGATGCATTGACGTGGCTACACAAATGGGTCAGAAGAACAAGATTGATGATGACTATGTATTAGGGGAAACTATTGGGAAAGGGAAATTTGGATCTGTATTGCTCTGTAGAAGCAAGGTCACTGGAGTACAATTTGCATGTAAAACACTGCTGAAAGGGGAAGAGACAGTTCACCGGGAAGTGGAGATCATGCAACACTTATCAGGGCATCAGGGTGTGGTAATGCTGGAGGCAGTGTATGAAGAAGAGGAGAGGTTCCATTTGGTGATGGAGCTGTGTCCGGGTGGGAGGTTGATTGATCAGATGGCAAATCAGGGGTCATATTCTGAGCACCGGGCTGCTAATATATTTAAGGACTTGATGATGGTTGTCAAGTATTGCCATGATATGGGAGTTGTACACCGGGATATTAAGCCTGAAAATATTCTTCTTACTGCCTCAGGGAAGATAAAGCTTGCAGATTTTGGCTTGGCTATGAGGATTGCCAATGGTAGTCACAGCCACCACTAAAGATTTTCTTCTTATTCTTCTATGCTTAGACTATTAAACTTGTTTTCAATCATCAACTGCTCTACTTGTCTCATTAGCATGTAAAGCTGCAGTTGCCTCTATCCATGGCTTAGGATGATACAATTTATTTTACCTACTTCGTTATGATGCTGGGATCAATAGGAGTTTTAGATACTGGTATAGTAGTATTGTGAATTCTATTTTTGTTGTCATGTTCTTTCTGTCTCTGGGGGTTAGTGGGCTTGACTGGGTTGTTCACAATAGAAGTACAGTTTGTTTCATCTTTTGTTTTGTTTTTCTTTCTTTTCTTTGAGGAGATGTATAACTGTTAACACACACCCTACTGGTCGGTAGACACCACTTGCCTGAGCAGCCAACTTATTTTTTTTAACATGCTCAATTATGCGAAGTCTCTTTTCACATTTCTTAGCAGAACTGTGTCTTTGCAGTAGGTGGGCTTGGTAATGGCTGGACATCATTATGGTATGCAAAATTTACTATGGGTAGTAATCTAATATACTATTATGAGATATGCGCTAGAACATATTGAACCAACATATAATAGCTTCTGTTTCAAGTTGCTTTCCTTCACAATTGGACAGCTTGGTTTTCTTTTTGAGTGACTAATTACCAATTTTTTTTTTTAATTTTTTTTTAAAGGTAAAGACAATTTTTTGCTAAATTGATAATGGTAGATATACACTCGTGTTTTTAATGTCTCTTTCCAATCTATTAGTTTAACTAACAATTGGATGAAACCTAACTTTTTGTGCCGTGTCTGTTATCTTAAGGTTATTTATGCTTTAATATGTAATTGTTTAGATATCGTAGGAATATAGTGAATTTAGGACAAACTTTGTCCTTTATTGGTAATTAGCCCTTTTCTAATCATCAGTTGGATTATAATAATTGCTTGAGTTCATCTTGATCAAGTTATCATTTATCCTAGAGTTTTTTTACTTGGCATCTCTAAGTCATACCATTGGCCCATGGTTTTCTAGATTTGTATATCATTGTGCATACTTGGAGCATGCTTCATTTTTCTTCGTAATATACTTTCGAGTTAATTCCAGCAATGGTCCTCCGACTATATTGATTTTCCAAAATTAGTCCCCGACTTTTAATTTGGACACTTTATATCCGTCGATTTCAATTTCTTTCCAATTGAGGTCCTTTCGTCAGATTACGGTAAAGTGGATTTTAAATGAAAGGGTAAAGTAGTCATTTCATCTGCCTAATGTATAATTCTTTGTATTTCTTCCTTGTATATGTGACTTCGGACATCAGATTCACTTAATTGCTTAATCTCTAATGAAATTTTGTTCTTCGAGTGGATTTAGGGATTAAGTGAATATGATGTTCGAAGTATATACATTAGGCAGATGAAATGACTATTTTACCCTTTCATTTAAAGTTCAATTTACTGTAATCCGACGAAAGGACCCCAATTGGAAAGAAATTGAAAGTCAAGGGACGTAAAGTTTCCAAATTAAAAGTCGAGGACTAATTTTGGAAAATGAATATAGTCGGAGGACCATTGCTGGAATTAACTCTATACTTTCTGTATCTTCTTCAACTTGTATTGTGTGTGTCAACAATTTGTCTTCAAATTTGAAGGGAAAAGTTATGCTTGCGTTATCTCACACCTGAAGATATCAAATACACAGGGTCTCACCAATTGGGCTTGGAAATTGCGATACTTTTCTTGCTTATTTTCTTTTTGTTTCAGTAATATGTTTGGTTTGGGGACTGGTTTTGCAAGTGTGCTCTCTTAGACTCTTGGTGCCATAAATGTTATGGGGGTTTTATTTTTATTTTTATTTCATCAAATCTTTCTTGCACCCATTTCCTCAATCATTTGCACGAAATCAATTCAATTGTATTATCATCTTCATAGTCAAAATAGCTGGCAACGATGTTCCTGTTAGGAAATAAGTTTGGATTTTTATAATATATGGGCCAACATATCTGTGTGTTAATTTTCTTTCTCTTCCTCCCTCTACTTATTGCTACTCTCATATCTTTGCTTATGATTTTTATTGTTTTAACTTTAATAGGTCAGAGATTAACCGGTGTGGCTGGAAGCCCTGCTTACGTGGCCCCAGAAGTCCTTTTGGGGGATTACGCTGAGAAAGTGGATGTCTGGAGTGCTGGTGTTCTTTTACATGCTCTCCTGATTGGAATTCTTCCATTTCAGGGTGATTCATTAGAAACGGTTTTCGAGGCAATTAAGAATACAAAGCTTGATTTCCATACAGAAAAATGGCAATCTGTTTCTAAACCTGCACGTGACCTCCTCGAGCGTATTCTCACAAGGGATGCGACTGCTAGAATTTCTGCAGATGAAGTACTAAGTATGCTTTTATTTTTTGAGATTTGGTTATTTCACCGTGGATCACTAATTTCAGTTTCCCAGAAACTTGTTTTACATTAAAATTTTCCTTTTTTACAAGATGCATGGCCTCTCTTTCGCTTGGCATAACTAAGTTGATATGTCTCACTCAGGTCATCCATGGATTCTTTTCTATACTGAGCGCACATTGAGGACATTATCCACTAGGACAAAACCAAAGCATCAGGCTGGTGCACCATCCCAGATAATGGCAGCTGCTTCTACTACACCACAATCAGATCGAAATAAGAGAGGGATCAGTTCCATGGTGAAGGGTAGAGCTCCTCCTGCCTCGTGTTGTGAGAGCTTGAATGGAGAATCCGAAGAGTCAGATGAGTCTGGTTTGGTTGATGCACTCACGGTGGCAATATCACATTGCAGGATATCTGAACCAAAAAGGAGCAGATTATGTGTTCCCACCAGTCCAATTAGAGAAGAGTGTTCATCTAACATGACGGCCAGCAACCTCTGCAAAGCGTTTTGAGTCTGATTCATGTACAGATGATGACCTGACCTGACCCCTCCTACTGTGATGATGATCCCTGCTTTTTATTAGTTGCGGATTGAAGCATATAACTCCCCTGCAATTTTCAACTACCATAAGAAACTGGCCTGCTAGATGTGACCCACAGTTACTACTGAGCTCCCTAACCGCAAGAAGGGGCGATATTGATTCCAATAGACATGCTAACATGGCCGCCAACAAAACTTCTGTACATATTTGTAAATAGTTTATAGTAGTAGCTGATGGCGAATTTATGATTTCATTTCATTGACAAATAATGTAATCTCGATCTGATAGTAACTAGCCTATGAGAAGTTGGTGCTTTCCTTGCCCCTTTTTTCAGCATGCATTTTTCTTTTTTTTGGTGACGAGAGATACCCGCAACTATTATCTGACCAGATAGTTCTCAAATTAATAAAGGAAAGGATCAGGAGATCTCAGTTTCTATTCTCTAAGATCATGTGCGTCTGCTTATATAACAAGAAACCCGCTTTTCCATTCTCTAAAGATATGTTTATCTGCTTATATAATGCTCTGAAGGCCGGGAAAGGTGGATCTTTTCTGTATTTTAAAATGTTGATAATGCTGAGAGTCTTTGTTGACTTGGTTTTCTACAAAATTAAAGTCAGATCAGAGCCATTTGAATGGTGATGGCAACACAGCGCAGTTTCAATCTGGGAATTCAAAGCCCCATTAGATTCCTTTTCACTTCATTTCTGCTTCTCCTTCTCCTCTTTTACATCCACTCTTCCCTTTTTGATCTCTCTTCTTCTCCAGCTTCCCATCCATGGATGTTTCCTCGTCGTCCAGACAGCGTCGAGTCGCTGAGAACCAAGCTCAAACAGTCTGTTACTTTTATGCCATTGAAGGACCTCAGGTTCGCTCAAACCGCCATGACTGGCAATACATGGTTTATGAGCTCCTTGAACGACACCCACGAGAAAGACGAAGCAGAACATTTGCATTTCCCTTCAGATGCGTCCCAGGGCCGCCTTCTTTGCATTAAAGGCCGCAACATTCGAGACGGCACACAAAACTCCTACGCCTTAGCATGGCGGAGCAGTCTTCCTTTCTCCGCCACGCTCCTGGAAGGCCTAACCTTCATATCCAACTCTTACTACGACCATGAAAATCTGTGGCATGGGTTGTGCGCCGTGGTGCCTTTCGTGCGGTGGTCGATGCAGAACGGGTGCGTGAAGCCACGGAGATGGGTGCTTTTCCACTGGGGAGAACTGAGGTACAAGATGGGGCCGTGGGTTCGACAACTGATGGAGACAGATTTCGGAGAAGTCGAGGTTGAGGGGTTTAAGGAAGGAGACGATGATAATGGGCCGTACTGTTTCGAGAGGGCGGTGGTGATGAGGCATGACATGGGGGAAATGGGGATAGAGAGCAAGCTCAAGGCTTTCGACTTGTTGCGGTGCAAGGCTAGGAATTACTGCGGCTTCACGCCGGAAGGTGGGAGGGAGGTGAACGATAGAGGCTTTCCGATCATACGGTTAACTCTGCTCATGAGAAGAGGCTCCCGGTCGTTCAAGAATGCCGCCGCGGTTACCGATATATTTGCAGAGGAATGCGCCAAGGTCGATGGGTGTGTCTTGAACGTTGCCCAATCTGAAGATCTCTCATTCTGTGATCAGGTAAAACAATATTAAAATAGATATGCTTAATTAAACTTGTTAAACCCTAATCAAGTTAGTTGAGTTGTTCAAACTTATAAATTATAGGTAGCCTAGTGTTACGGGCCTGGAGTCCAGCACAGTGCACAGTGTGTACGACGTCCCAAAGTCTTCTTACCTACAAACCACCCTCATATGGTGTCAAACTGGTTTCTATCTGTCATGAACTCAATCATCAGGAAAACGACAATATGACTAATTGTGCCCTCAGTCACAATAAACTTCTCGAATTTAGAGTCTATGACAAAACTATCCTTGACCATCTATTATTGCCATCTATCCATTTTATGGCAATTAAGCTAGTCAGTTGGTCTGTTCATTCATTAGGTCTAACTCGGTCATGCAATCTCTACCTGACACAAAACTAATTTACTACTTGAGGTCGATCTTTTGTTTGCTATTTTTACAAGGCAGAGTTTGTAATTCCTGGTCCCCTCGTCACCCAAAAAGCTTAAACTTTTGTAGAGTAATGCGCAACTCATTTTGTGGGCACCATGCATTATATTCTCAGGTGAGAGTGATGATGAACACAGACATTGTTGCATCTCCACACGGGGCGCAGCTAACGAACATGTTCTTCATGGAGCGTGGCAGCAGCGTAATGGAATTCTTCCCAAAAGGGTGGCGGGAGCACGGCGGCGTAGGTAAATTTGCGCATCACTGGATGGCAGCTCAGTCCGGCATGAACCACCAGGGAGCCTGGTGGGATCCAAACGGACCCGACTGCCCTACCCCCGAAGATACCTCCCAATGCTTTTCGTTTCACAAGAATGGAAAGGTGGGTCACAACCAAACCTATTTTGCAGACTGGACAAGCAAAGTGCTCAATCAAGTGAAGTTGATGAAGATGGACAAAGCTTCCAAAACTATACTGCATGATTCAAATGCCTGTGCTTGTTAATTAGTTTGTTCATCATATATGTAATATAAAATATAAACGTATAGTATAATCTTAATTGGTATAGGTCTCAGTTTATAATATGAACAAAATGTTATACTTCAGTTGGGATCGATGGAGATCAAAAAGGGAAAATAATATACTAATATATTAATTTTGTTTGCATCGAGTCTTCTATTTACTCAAATAATGTGATTAATTTGCAGCACAAGTCTTCATATCAATTGTAACTCGTGAATTAATTAAAAGTTTTTATATACAACTGAAACAGACAATTTAAAGTCAAAAAAATCGTAATTTAGCTAGTAGCTACATACCCCGTCGCAATCCTCAGGCAAAATGAACCTAACATCAATGGGGGCATGCAAAACGTGCAATTTGGGCTTGAACAAAAGGAACATTTGTTGCTAGTCACTTTAATTTGTACCGAAGTTTGCTTATATGTGACTTAAATTAATTTCGCTATAAAAAGATGAAGGGTGTGTTTGGTTCGCGCGCACATGAAAATCGGAATCATAATGAGAATCAAATACTTGTAATGCTAATGAATTTTAGTGAAAGTATTTTACATGTTTGGTAGTATGGTAGAATTGGAATGATTACTAATATATTGATGATTGGTTATGTATAACTCTATAATGAGTATAAATGTTTTAAAAATACAAAAAAAAAAAAAAAAAACAGAAAACAAAAAAAATCAAGGAAATTGATCATAATATAATGACATCCAAAGTACCAATATGAACAAAGATATCAAAACAAAAATCTAAAAGTATTAATCCAAACTTAAAACTCAAATTACTAATAAGATGGAATGATATCCATTTTTAATTAGGAAATATATTTTTAATTAAAGGGGTAATCAAATCCTGTAATTGTATTTTAAAAAGTTGTCAACCAAACACTAACTATAATTTTGATTCTCATTCTTGGTGTGTAAACTCATAAACCAAAACACACCCAAAAAGAGTTATGAGAAGTTATCAATCTGGCCCAAACCCAATTAGGGCCCATATGTATTGATGGGTGAATAAGTCTTATGGGCAATCGTTATGCCTTGGACCCGTGTCCAGCATGCTTGCTGGACACGGGTAACAGTGCCGTTAGGCACTGTTATCTCCTTCTTTTTTTTTTTTTTCAGACCACTTTGTTATAGAAGTATATGTTCATAATTTTATTACTATATGTTAATAACTATACATTCATAACTCCATAATTGTACGTTCATAACTCTATAACTGTACATTCATAACTCTATAACTGTACATTCATAACGTCATAACTGTACATTCATAACTCCATAATTATACATTCATAATTTTCGAAGCTCTATGTTCATAATTTTATCACTATATGTTCATAATTGTAAGTTCATAATGTTAGAGCTCTTTGTTCATAATTCGATCAATAACTGTACATTCATAATTCCATAACTGTAGATTCATAATCTCATAACTGTAGATTCATAACTCCATAACTGTAGATTCATAACTTATAATTGTACATTCATAATCTTCGAAGCTCTATATTCACATTTTTAAAGCTCCATGGTCATAATTTTATCACTATATATGTTCATAATTGTAAGTTCATAATGTTAGAGCTCTGTGTTCATAATTTCATAATTGCATAACTGTACATTCATAACGGCATAACTGTACATTCATAATCCAAAAATAAAAAATAAAAATAACGTCGTTAACGCCGTTAACGGCAAAACGCGCGCGATTTTTTTTTTTTTTTTTTTTTAACTAAATGACGCGTTTTTTTTTTTTTTTTTTTTTTGAAAAACGATGTCGTTTTGGGCCCATGTCCACAATTCATTGTGGACACGGGTCCAGGGCATAATTTGCCTCTTATGGGTAGGTAGGCTGATATTGCAATTTTTGAAGGCCCAAAAACCCATCACAAAGATTCTCATGGCAAATCAAGATAATACCCAAAATGGTCCCTTGACTATGTCATAATTACTAATTTGATCCTCAACTACCATTCTTACCCAATTAAGTCCTCAACTATGTAACTTTTACTCAATTAAGTCCTCAACTATACAATTCTTACCCAATTTAGTCCTCAACTATACAATTCTTACCCAATTTAGTCCTCTGTATTAATTTGACTGTTTGTTGACTGTCAAAAATCGGGATAAAATTATAATTTTACAAGATTTCTCCTTCCTCTCCATTTAGCAGCGCCAAACCATGCAGCAATACACTCCGATCAGATTTCGATCGTCAAAAAATCGTTGGAAATCAAATTCATGGGTTATCCGATGCATAACCACTACTTCGATACTGACAGGTTTAGAACCCAACCGGAGCTTATTGTTACATGGTTTGGCGCTGCTAAATGAGGAGGAAGGAGAAAACTTGTAAAATTACAACTTTATTTCCACTTTTGACAGTCAACAAACAGTCAAATTGACAAAGGACTAAATTGGGTAAAAATTGTATAGTTGATGACTTAATTGGGTAAGAATGATAGTCGAGGACCAAATTGGTAATTACGACATAGTCGAGGGACTATTTTGGGTATTAACTCTTGCTTTAGTTAATAAGAAATCTCACTTAGAATTAACTTTGGATTTGGAATGAATTTTTTGTGTGCTGAAATGTATAGTTTGATGTTGAGTTTTGAAATTGATTAACCCAATTTATCTCCACATGAGTTTATAAACATGTTCATGGAGTTTGGAAAGTGTTTAGTTCAAGTTATATAAAATAACTAAGGTTATATTTGCTTGAGAATATAAGATTTTCATGTTTGGTTCCTTATGTAATTTTTTCGGAGAATGTCACAAATCTCCACATTAAATTTTTAATTATTGAAAGGGAATGTGAGATACCTCCAATTTTTTAGGTAATCTCACATTTCATTATCTTATTACTAATTTTGAGTTTGTGACATTTTAATCAATTTGTCTTATTAGCATAGTCTTATTTACATACCTTAGTTTTAAACTAAATACAGACATCTAACCTCCCCAGTAATCTAACATTATGTGAACTAAACGCTTCATTAGGATATAGTCCGGTGAAGTCGAGAATTTAGTTATGATTAAAAAAAAAATTAATGATCTTATTGGTGCGTGCGTGGGCGGCGTGGCAATATACAAAATTAAAAACACGTGGAATGACGGAAGAAACGGTGAAGAAAGTCAAACATGTCAAATTTCAATTATATCCCTGTCGAGAATCCAGCTGATCGCTGAACGAGCCGCCATGTGAGCCAACCGAAAGCCGTTCAAAACATAAGCAACGCCTACGCTTTCAAAAACTTGCATTTTTCTTGCTCCGACAATCCTGGAAATTTGTCTGTGCCTGCGGTCATACTTAAAGAAGAAAACAGTGAAGCTTGGGCAAGCATGGACAGTCTTAATGAGAGGAAACCAAGATTTCTGTGCCTTCATGGCTTCAGAACCAGCGGCGAGATTCTCAAGAAGCAGGTCGTCGGGAAATGGCCGTCATCAGTGGTGGAAAAATTGGATCTTGTCTTCGTAGATGCGCCTTTTCCTTGCCAGGGAAAATCTGATGTGGAGGGCATCTTTGATCCTCCTTATTATGAATGGTTCCAGTTCAACAAGGTCCTTTTTCTCTCCATCTTTTAACCCATCATGTTTTCCATTCCCTATGCCAATTTCTCTTTTTTGAAATCCAGGAATTCACAGAGTATCAGAATTTTGACAAGTGCCTTGCTTACATTGAAGATTGCATCATAAAGTATGGACCTTTTGATGGTCTTCTTGGTTTTTCCCAGGTAATTCTCTCTACTTCTTTCTTCTTTTTCACCACCCATTTTTCTTGTGTTAATTCTTGTTGAATTTGAATTCAGGGTGCAATGTTGTCAGCAGCATTGCCTGGGTTACAAGATAAGGTATACATATAATGAGCTTGTCCTTTCATTTCATTCTATTATTCTTTGAATTTCATTACTGTAGCAATCTTGAATAAAATGGGATGATCTTCTTTGGTAGGGAGTGGGCCTTGCAAATGTGCCCAAGATTAGATATCTTATAATAATTGGAGGAGCAAAGCTAAAGAACCAAGATATTGCAGAAAAGGCATACTCATTGCCTATTAAATGCCCCTCTGTTCATTTTTTAGGTGACTCTTTTAAACTGTTCCCTCCTTAATTTCCATGCAATATTTATATAAAGAACTTGAAGTTGAGAAATGTTTCAAGATTCAAGTTTGTTTATAATGGCAATTGCTTGTATTTTTGTCAGTTCCCTATGTTACTTTGCATAAAACTAAAAGATGAGGATAGATTTCTAGAGTTTTAGTCTATCAGCTGTATAGGATTTTATGACATTTCGAGCTTCATTCATGTGAGGCAAAAAGAAGTAGCTATATAGTCTATACTCACCATGGGGGAGAGACATAAAGGTTTTTGTTTTAGTGAGTAGATAATCACTGTTGAACTCGTGGTCTTTCTCGGTGGGAGCACTGTTATTTTAGATGAGGCACTAGCTGAGAGGTCCTGTTTTTTTTTTTTGGTAAATTTCACCGAGCTAACTTTTGTCAACATATGAAGTGATTGAACTTTTCTATGTCAATAATGTGATAAACTGCTGTGCTTAAATGTCTAAGATAACTGGATTTGTGTAGTTCAATTCACAGCCTTTACATATTAGTCACTGTAATGTTGCAGGAAAGGAGGACTTCCTTAAGGAATACGGAAGTGAACTCCTGGAATCATTTGTGGATCCCGTAGTTATTCATCACCCTAAAGGTCACACGATACCACGATTTGGTAAGGATCTTAACATAGTATGGAGTAACATAGTATGGAATCATGTTTTTCACACTCTCTCTTTTATTCTGTGGTAGACGAGGAAGGTTTACAGCAGATGCTTTCATTCCTAGAAAGGATTCAAGGGGATATCAGTATGACAGAAGAAAAGCAAACAGAAATTGCAAAGAAAGATTCTTAGTTGCTCAATGCTGAAAATCTTGCAATAATTTTGTGGATGGTTTCTCTCTGGGGGCAGGTTTTTACTGGATTGTTACTGTCATTG